CTCCCCCTTCCTGTTCTCTCCTCTTCCCACCCCAACCTCTTTTCTACACCACCCGCCAACTGCCCTTTCGCTGCTCAATCACTCACCGAAACCCCTGGGAACTCCAGATTCTCCATCGTGCTGATGAAAGTTTCCTTCACCGAGCCCATGTTTTCGTAGCTCAACTGATGGAATGGCGGCGCCGCTGTTCCGTTGGCCCCCCACCGCCGTAAAGTTTCCTGAATCGTGAGCGCTATGGTCCAAACCGTGTCGTAGGTGCTAGCGGCATACATGCTCAGAGGTCGACTCCCATTGCTTTTGAAGTAGGCTTCTAGAAATTCTGTAGATGTCTGTGAAGTCAACAGTGCGATAAAGAGTTTATGACCTCTGATCTATTGTGACAAGAACGTTGCCATCCTAGAGAGAGAGAGAGAGAGAGAGAGAGAGAGAGAGAGAGAGAGAGAGAGAGAGAGAGAGAGAGAGAGAGAGAGAGAGAGAGAGAGGAGGGGGGGAAGACGGCTGTGACGTCAGTTAAGTGACTCATCCACAGATCGGCCTGGAGCTGTCAGGAACAGCGCAGTTTGCCGTACTCAATTCGTCAACCCTCGGGACACATCGGGCCGGCTCTGAAACCGCTGGAATACATCCCCACCACCCCCAAATTCCCCAAATTCCCCGAGAAAGTTTAGTTTTAGTTTTAAATATAGCTTTTACGGCACTAGCAACATAATTAGCCACTAATAAATACCAAAGATTAGACGTATTACTAAAGAATTACAAACGAAAAACTGCATGAAAGAGGAGGGATATGCCCGACAGACGTCTAACAGGAAAGACGGAGAACACCACACCAGAGTACCCGCCAGCCACCTACAGCGCAGTTAGTCGGATTCAACTCATCAACTCTTCGGGTGACACAGGAGGGTTCAAGCCGGTTCTGATACCACTGGAATCTCCCCTCGGGAACGAGACCACGGAGAGAGAGTATAGACACAACGAATAACGGATGTTCATCAGTGTATGCTGATAACCATTCTCATTGTTCTCTTCTTTCTTTTCCCTTTCTAACTCATCCCTTCCCCCTTTTCTTCGAATCTTTCCTCCTGTTCTGGCGCTTCTCATTCTCTTCCTCCTCTCTCTTCGTCATCATTATCATAATCATCATCATCATCATCTTCTACCGCTGCTGTGGCTGACGACGACGACGACAACGACGATTAAACTATAATGATTTTATTTCCTAAACATTGAAACTTTCCTTCATGTTCACAACGACGACCACCTACCACAAGACAGGTCCTGCCATAAACCAGAGATACATTTCCCCCCTTGACACAAGTAGCACAGCAGTTTTAGTAGGAAAAGATGAGAGTAATGTATTCCAAACACTTCAGCTCAAGACCTCTCCGTTCCAAACGAGTGACAAACGGGTTTTCAGTACTCTCTCTCTCTCCGTGGTGTCTCTGTCTGCCTGTATGTTTTTGCTTCGCCTCAACACTCAATGATAGTGACTGTTCGTATGTGATTTATTCTCTCTCTCTCTCTCTCTCTCTCTCTCTCTCTCTCTCTCTCTCTCTCTCT